TCTTTGTGGAATTGAGAGGAAGGAAGGAAGGAAGGAAGGAAGGAAGGAAGGAAGGAAGGAAGGAAGGAAGGAAGGAAGGAAGGAAGGAAATATTTATACTTAGCTGTTTAGTTACAGAACAAATGACTTCATTCACACACTATACTAAGCATAACAGGTTACAAAAATACATAAAAATCCTACTAATAAGACCAATGTAAAACAGAATAAGATTAAGAATATTCATCATTCTATAACTCACCTACCAGTAGGAATATTGATCTCCACCAATGTTCTCGCCCAATGGTGAGGAAAAAGCCAGGTGTTTGTGGACTTCTGAAAAGCAAATAGGATCAGGGCCATCTGGATCTTGAGGCTGTTCCACGGTCCAGTCCTGTGACAAGGAAATAATGTCTTGTGAGTTCTATAGGATGACATAATTTTAGAGGGCATCTGGTGCATGCTCAGCCTGTACAATGATACAAGAATAAATGTATGTTTTCTTAACTTAAATGACTGTGATTTTCAACTACAGGTATGGTTTTATGATTTAGGAGTCCTGGTGGCACAGTGGTTATAATGCAATATTGTAACAGCATTGTAACTCTGCCCACTGTCAAGAGTTTGATCCTGACCGGCTCAAGATTAACTCAGCTTTCCATCCTTCCAAGATTGGTAAAATGAGGACTCAGATTGTTGGGGGCAATATGATAACATTGTAAATCACTCAGAGAGTGCTGTAAAACAGTATGGAGCAGTGTATAAGTCTAAATTCTATTGCTATTTAATGATTGACAGGCTTTGTCACAACTGTGATTGGGGATGTTACTTGGAATCCTGACTACAACTTTCTTTTCCTTTGTTGCTTTCTACAGGTGGCCGATGCTGGCGCTACAAAGGATCTTCCCTTGAAGTTGGTTTTCCCCAAAAGTGCAGCCTTACGGGTGATCTCCCGCGCCATCCTGACACTGCCTTGTTCTTCCAGCCACTCCATCAGCTGGTGCTTTTCAAAGGACCTAAATATTATGTAGTCAATGAGGAGACCCTCCAAGTGGAACCTTATTATCCCCGAAGCTTGAAAGACTGGGGAGGGGTTCCAGCTCTCGCAAATGGTGCCGTGACACATCAGGATGGCTTTGTCTACTTCTTTCGAAATGACCAATTTTGGAAATTCAACCCAGAGAAGTTAGAAGTGGTAGAAACTGGAAAATGGGCTGTTCAGCTGAGGTGGCTGGGCTGTCAGGATGTCAATCTAAATCAAGCTGGGACCTGATATTTCTGTTTATCTCTGGATTTGTCACACGTTGTTCCAGTAAAATCTCCAGAAGGCGAGAACTTCGTGTTCTAACCGAGGCTTCCCAAGAGCACAAAGCAAATTCCTTGTCCCAATGAAAACCCCTTTTATTAATTTTCTGTGAATTCTACTCATTCACATCCAACAAAATCTTTCAGGGGAGGATTTACAGTCACAGAATTTATCTGGCTTGGAGAGCTGACAGGCCGGTATCTGCAAAACTTGGCAAGGAGTCTTGGAGAGTCACACGCCAATTAAGTGAACTAATTGTCTCTTGCAAACTCCACTTTCACTCCTCTTTTATTTCCTGTGGGAGAGGCCATACACCGGCCACCAGTGGCCTTACTGCCAAGTCGATTCCTGTTCTTTAGTTGTTCCCTTCGTCTGGCAACTCTGCTCATGCGCACACTGGGAACAGGCTCCAGCTGTTCATCTGCCTCACTGATGTCTGACTCTGAAGGCAGGTAATAACTGGCATGTGGCTCTGGCCCCCTCTCTACCTCTGACACAGAGCCCTCATCGGAGCTTTCCCCAGACTCCAGGACTGGCCCATGTTCCTCCCCAGCCTCCTCACTGTCCGAATCTGCTGCCAGCTCCGCAGGCTGCTGGCAGGCCACAAGACCTCTTAAACTATTCATTCTGTGTTCATCAGCATTCCAATTTGCTTTTAATCTGGTCCCAAAGAGATTATAAAAAAAAACCAAAAGCCAAACACAAGGCCTGAGCTAAAATTGTATTTTCTGGAAGAAAAATGCAAACACTCCGGAAGCAAAACAATTTGATATGAGGAACCATCAATCAAGATTTGCACCATCAATGTTGAGTGTTAATTTATTGGGAAGTGGGTTCTTGATCTGCAATGATCCCAAGACACTAAAGCAATGTTTCTAGTGCCTTCTAGTCAGTCAGGGGCATTCTAGAAAGGAAAACAGAAGATAAGCATTATTCTCCACTGGCAAATGGTTGCATCTTCATATAGAAACAGGTCTTCTTCTTACAGCTATCAGTTTAACTTGGACTCTTCCGTATTATTGTCCATTCTTATTATCCAGAAGAAACTGCCACGGAGAATGCAAACCAGAAGGTCTTTTCAGAAGTAAATTTTCCTCTACAACTGAGCCTCCAATATTGGTGCCTAATCGTGTACCGTCTGCCTACTAAGTTTGTTCCACTACTAGTTTGTTCCACTAACGTTCAGTATGGAGCGTTCCCCACCATCCAGTTAGAGCTGAAGAAGCTTTTTGGATGAGAAGCGAAACGTCTTCAAAGAAAAAAACTGGAAAGTCCAGTTGCCTCTTGAAAAGCATCTTTGGGACAACTATGTTCTGAAGGCCTGAGAATCTCCATAGACATATGGAGCTAAGGGTGTTCCAAATTACTACCTCTCCTTCCTGTTAGATATTGTAATTTCTCTATGGTGCTTCTAGTTTCTTTCTTACATAGGTAGCCATTTTGTAGGATCATGACGTTATATTATAGCAATCCTTTATTCTTTTTCCATGTATATAGTTTCATTGCGACAAATGTATACAGAAAAAAATATGGGAGAATGGTACACTCAGAATGGACTCCACGCCATCACAACAGATTGAGGCATGAATCTGAGGCTCCCCTTTGGATACCCAATTTCCTTTGAGTGCATTAAATTGCTACAGGATTATTTCTTTACCTAATATCTCCCAGGTCTTCTAACATATTGACAGGAGTGGGATTGAAAAATTTAAGCAATGGGTTCTCTGCCAGTAGCTGGATGGGCGTGATTATGGTGGGCGTGGCCAAGTCAGCCTCCTGCACCATGGTGGGGGGCTATTTTCACCCTCCCTGGGCACCAAAGACGTTCCTTGAGCCTCCGGGAGGACTAAAACGGCCTCCCCTGGGCTCCAGAGGTTCCCTGGAGGCTGGAAACGGACCCATTTCCAGCCTTCTGGAGCCTCCAGGAAGCCGGTTTTTCGCCCTCCCCGAGCCTCCTGCACTTACCTAGCATCCAAAACAGGCTGCATGGAGACTTCTGGGAAGGGCAGGTGGGGCCAGCCAGGAGTGAGATTTGGAGGTTTGCCGAACTGCACAGAATCTTTGCTAGAGGATCGCCCAAACCCAGCCGAATCCGGACCAGCCCACTCCCGCATATTGATATTATTTCTGTCAGGCATGAAACATCAGGATCAGATAGAAGATTTATTGCTCAAGCCTGTACATAAGAATCTAGTCAAGTAATGGTTGACACTAAATCGGTGCTATTGTAGATAAGAGTTAATAGGATTCAAAAGGAGCTGGACTTGGAGTGTTTGTGGACACATAATGATTCTAGGCTGAGTCCTCTCTTGATTCTGTCCCCAGACTCTGCCTGCTCTTCTCCTACAATTTTCAGTGGACATACAGTTCCGAGATAATTCTTCTCAAAGGGATATATTTGAAAGATGGTGCTATTTGTTAATCGATGTCTCTATTTAGAGATTTGGAATTTTATTTCATCATTGTTCCCAAGAACATATAAAGAGACATTCTGATTCAACAGATATGAGATCCATCATGACTAGCATTTGATTTCCCACATTGAAGCCAATAGGCAGAATGTGTAATCCCCTGATGTTCCCAGCAATGGTGATTGAGACAGTTACGTTTCCAAGCTTTGGTGATATCAGTGGCTTGTAAACTGTCTTCTGGGATGCCTAGACCAGTGATGGCTAACCTTTTTGTCCTTGCGTGCCCACACCCATAATGCAATGCATGTGTGACCCTCCCCTGAGAATGCCTCTCTCCCCCTACGCATGCGCATGTGACCCCCCCCCACGGTCCCCCACCCATGCACATGCAACCCCCTGTGCCCTATATTGGGCCTAGAAGTCCTCTCTGAAGCCTCTTGGGACCAAAAATGAGGCATGGGGAGGTGCCACTCTCCCCCCTGACCCCCCACATGCACATGCGTCTCCTGCATGTGCAGCAGAGACTTGAAAATCAGCTGGCCAGTGAGAGGTGCACGTGGATGTGTGTGGGGGGGCTGAGCTGGGGCGACAGCTCGCGTGCCCGCAGAGAGGACAGGTGACACATGTACTATAGATTCACCATCACGGGTGCCAGACAGCTGATCTGGCACTCAGAACTTGGTTGTTCTGGAGGACTGAGCTCAGATAGTATTATACTCTATCAAGCAACCATGTCACCATATCTTGGCCAGAGCACATGAAACAATGGGTGTTGTGCTAAATATACACTTGGATAATGGATATAACCCTGTGTCTGGGCTGTATATATCTTGAACTGTAGGTTCAGGAAGAGCACAACAGTTTGTTTCATTCCAGGAGACACATATATGAGAAAACGTGTGTCAGAAAGAGTTCAGAATATTTTTTTCTTACTTCTAAGACTAGATTTATGGGTTTCTGCGTGGATTGTATGTGTATGGAATCATGCATAGTTTTCAGCCACATGGGGATTTTTCTTAAATGACTGGTATTCAAGCATTTGCCTTTGTTCAGACCCATTTACAATATAATGTCTTGGGGGAAGTAATTTATTTGTTAGAACATTATAGCAGGAAATCAGCTCCATCATTTTTCTGTCCTTCCAGGGCTTCTAGAATAATGTAGTGCCAGGTTTATGGTTGCTGAATTTTATCTTTCAGGAATTGAATTATTATATATGTATGACAATTATATTTCATGGAAGGGTAGAGGGGATTATAGCCATATTCTGGTTTTATGGTTTCTGTGTTCTCCCCCACTTTAGCTTTCAGGCGTTGACAGTGATCTATCCTGATACTTTTCTGCCAGGTATTAAAGGGATAGATAACTGAATTGGTGTGTTCGCTTGCAGCAGTTAAAGCATCCTGTAGAGTTTGTGAATTTTCAAATTTATTGGGGGATAAGCATTCATAGGCTCATGGTAAAAAAAAGATGGGAGTTCCAGTTTTGACACCTAACTGATGCTTCCCATGCTGAGGAGTTTCCAGTTAAGTATTGTAGCTATTTTCATGGATTTACCAAAAAGGAATTGCTGAGCATCAAAGAAACCATGGCTTTGCTGCTAGAGATCCCGTTCTACCTCAGACAACTCTCAGGTCAGTCTTAAAAAGCTTTTCTGGCATTTTTAAAAAAATTGTTTTGGGTTAGAGTAGACAAGGCTTAGACAATGAGCCACACCACACCATCACTCATCAGGCTTGGAAGCTGTTTGTAATGGAGGATAAATTCTTTAGAATGTGGTTTATAAGTTGCTTTCTGGAAATGGTTAGGAAGTAAGGGGTGTAGCAGGATGCTTACCCTCAGTTAAAGTATAGGTTTGCTTTGGAGATTGACTGGTGGCATCTTATTTGAACATGGTCATCGTGTCCTTATTTTTGCAATATTTTATCATAATGCTAACACAATCATGTTCTTCTGTTGATGATCAAGACTACTGAGGAATTGTTTTCATCTTTGATTTCTTGCTGCAATGTGCCATTTGGACTCCTTGCCTGAAGAATGCAAAAGAGAGTTGGCCATTCTTTGTCTTTCTTCATGTTGCAACATGCCAATGTTGACTTTTGTCAACCCCGTATTTACAAACTGCTTAGAGGGCAGCAGTCTGTTTCCAGGATTAGACATTTGTTTACCAGTAAAATGGTATGCATGACGCATACATATACATTGGGCAATTTTGCAACAGGTGGAAAAGCTGGAAGAGGAGAGAGAGTCTTTTTTTGGACAGCCAAAATGGCAAAAGGGATACTTTGCAATGGATTCTGAATGGTAAAAAGACTTAACATATATCAATGTTGTTTCACCTGCTTGATCACCTACATTTCTTTGCTACCTGTCCTTGAGCAAACAGCTCTTTGTTAGAATTGTTAGAATTAACATTTCTTCCAATTCTCAGAAACATTGCATTTCAGGTTAAGGACTTTATGTTTTCACAACATGCTAAACCCGTGACGGCATGTGTGCCAGAGGTGGCAGGCAGAGCCCTTTCTGTGGGCATGTGCACTGTTGCCAGCTGCTCTTCTGGTTTCTAGCATGCACATGTGCACCACCCAGCTGGTCTTTCCCGGCGCCGGAGCACTGGAAAATGGCATGAGAATGGCCAAAGCCCAGGCCGTTTCCGGGCCTTTTCAGGCTGTTTTCCAGTGCTCCTGCCCCCGCA